ACCAATTACAATTCAGCTTGCACATAATATAACAGATGCACAAGAGATACAAAATGATGAGTCGAACAATAACTTTGATATCATTGAACAACTTCGAGGGCCAGATTGTTTTAATCACGAAATACAACAATATACTTCCATAAAGGCTGAATACTTCCAAGGTATTGGGATTGCTAAAAAAGGAGTTCAAATTGCTCTTGACACTAATGCAATGAATGAATTTATTGGTATAAGGCATAATTTTATTGAATCCAAGCCGATAATTCATTAGAATTGAATAATATTGGACCAGTAACGAATCTTCATATTATTGCACATCGTGGTCAACTGAAGAAACTATTACAAGACTCTTTAGATAATACTAATCGATCGAATTCTCAAAAAACTCACAAAAAAGTACTTCATAGATCTGATGTTCCAAATAAACCTTTGTGAAAATGTTCTCATTGTAATAGTACTGGACACTATGCTAAAACATGCAAATTAAATCCCAAAAATAAGAATTAGATGTAAATTAGTATCAAAGCTAGCTATTAAGGTTTAGAGCATAAGCTTGATCGATTCTATGTAATATTAAGATTTTCAATTAATGGTTTTAGTGGTTCAAATGATCTTATAAATCCAAAACTATGAATTTGCACATAATAATCATTGCAGCACTCATGTTGTGTGGTACAATATTGACTGTTGAATTAATACGATGGATGTCTCGTCTGAGAGTACAAGTTGTGTGTGTGTAGCTGCTTTAGAAATACGCTCTGCGAGACAACTGCCTAGGTGCGAGTAAAACGAGCACCATATAGCAACTATATAGCGACATCAGTGCATGATCACTAACAAAGCTAGCTAGCTTTGTTAGTGATCATGCCCTTTCACAAAATGCTTTCAGAAGATCATATTGAAACCTCACACTTAGGGTTAGGGTGTTATATTAATATAATGTATTAACCTTATTGATTTAGTAAAAGAAGAGCGAAGCAGAGGCGATAGCCGTAGCATAGCGAACAGGGAATTTTCTAGGTTATGTTTGTAGTAGGTAAGATAAAATTTTATGTTGATTTGAATTTACACATTGAAATCTCATACTTAAGGTTAGGGTGTTCTATTAATATAATGCATCAACCTTATTGATTTAGTAAAAGAGGAGCGAAGCGGAGGCAACAGCCATAGCGTAGCGAATAAGAAATTTTCTAGTTTATGTATGTAGTAGGTAAGATAGAATTTTATGTTGATTAGAATTTACATATCGAAACCTCACACTTAAGGTTAGGTGCTTTACTAATATAATGTGTCGACCTTATTGCTTTAGTAAGAAAGAAGCGAAGTGGAGGCAATAGCCATAGTGTAGTGGACTTCACTGAGTCTTTCAGTTTTATATATATAGTAGGTAAGATGGAATTTTTTATGTCGATTTGAATTAAGGTTCGCTAAGACATTGATTTGATTAACGTACAATTATGTTCTATTCAAAATCGAACCTGAAAAGGTTTTAACTCAATGGAATACTCAATGATTACTTCATATAATGATATTTTTTTTACCAACTGCATAGTATATTAAAGATACTTCACCACCTATTAAATAGTTTAAGCGAATTTAAAACGACATTCGGGTAAGATTAAAATAAGAAATCTCTATAAATTTAATTCCATTCTTATTTTCTCCAGTATCGCTATAATTATAGTAATTATAGTTAAGGAATGTTTAAAGCAAACTCTTCTAATAAATCTTTTAAAAAAAGGTTATCTAATAAACTATTTAGTGCTAGCAATTTTTAAATTGATTAGATTATAATAGTATATAGGTAGTTTATAACAGCATAGCGGGCTTTCATTCTTATTGGCTAATTTTTGTAGATCATTTGATGACGTTGCAAACTCTGATTGGCTAATAGAAACGAGTTCGAAATAAAAAAAAAAGTTAGAAATTATTAAACAAAAAGATAGATTTAAACTGTAAATTCGAATTTATAATAATAATTTTTAAAT